TTTGATTATTGATAAATGCATAACCATGGGTTATTGCACCCTATCTTGAGCCCATCTACTGGCCACCAATGAAAATGGTAAATGGTACTTTAAGACCCTCCGCTAGCAGTCGGCCAAGCCACCCTTCAATCCTTCATCATTTGTGTCGCTTTGCTTCGCGAACAGGGCAAAGAAAAACAATAAAAACACACGGTTAAATATAAAGCATCACCCTTGTGTCGCTTTGCTTCACTTACATTGCAAGGTTGCAGTGCAACCGCGACAGCCGGTGGCGTTTGGACGAGCGATGTAGACTGGAGACAGAGGAGCTTAATTCAGACCTTCTGTGGCCTGTGGGTTCAGAGGTGTAGTCGACCGGAGACAGGAAGCATGGTCGGAGACAACGAGATGTGTTATCCAGGTTTCGCCGACGAAGATGAAGGGTGTTGTGTAGAGGTGCAGGTGCATCGACAGAGTTTGAGAATAGAGATAGATCCGATTAGGGTTTTTTCCCTCAAACCGACAGTAGGTAGAGGCAATTGGGGAAAATTAATCTGCTAATTTGAAGATTCTTTAGCAGATACTAACTGATATTCAAAATACATGAACTAGTATCCAAGTACTAAAGTATTTAGAGAGCACAAATTAGTATTCAAGCTTTGCTAACTGATATCCATCATGAATAAACTATTATCCTAAATTCACAAACTAATATCTAGACAACACAGTATAATATCAATACATCACATAATAAGTATCCATATAACACATAAGAGTATCCGGATAACACATAAGAGTATCCATATTGAATACTAGTTGGTTGATTGTGGATATTAGTTGGTATATGCTATTTGGATATTAGTTTGTGATGTTTTAAATACTAGTCTGTGCTATCTAGATACTTTAGTAAAATCAGCAGACTTGGATACTAGTTCATACATTTTAGATATTAGTTAGTATATACTAACAACTTATGCAGTTAGCAGAATAACTAGGTTGGAGGCAATTGGCCACTCGTGTTTTTTTCACCCTCTCAATTTTCATAAAACGGTGCCACTTTTGTGAATAATTGGGCATTTCTAACCCGTGACGGAATCATATAAAAACGCTAAGGAAACAAGTATATACTTCATTTTTACATTATTACCATTTGTACAATCGTTACGTTTTTTGCACTAAGCAGTTTGGGTAGAAACTGAAGCGCTCTTGTGATCTACATAGGTATTTATTAGTATTATAAATATAATCTCTCTATCATAGACCAGGAAACCGGATCGTACCGGCCGGTTCAACCGGTTTAACCGGAAATTGGACCAAAAGCGGCACGGTGGGCTGATTGTGCTGATTTTACCGTGTCGGCCGGTTTTTTCGGTTTGACCGGTTGAACCGGTTGAACCGGCCGGTATGATCCGGTTTCCTGGTCTATGATTCATCTTCATTCTCCGTATTCTCGTTCAATATGTGGAAAATAATTAAAAAAGAATATTATTTTGCTATTTTTCTATGTTGAAAATGGGTCACCGTGGTTGTATAATGCTTTATTTGGTTCTTTTTTTGATGGATTATATTTTTTATACTATCGCATTTCATTTCTCTATCAATAGTGAAAAACGGTATTTACCGGTACAAAATGGTTGAACCACGGTCGTACCACAAAATACCATACCAGAAAGGAATCCGGTATGAAGTCCGGTACGGTTTCCTTTACCATGCTCTCTATACATATCTCTATCTCTCTTATGGCTAGCAAAAGTTCTTACCGTTAAATTAGGATGTGAATTCTATGATGCTTTATGTATTACTTTCGATGATCTAAGAATATGCTTATGCTTATGATATTCTATCTTCTATCCTATGTTATCTTGATTTTGTGCTTAATACCATTATAAGTTGCTAGGAACCTGCTCTTATCTGGTATGCTATCACTTATGCATGTATGATCTGATTGGACGCAATTACTCATGTATCTATTTGCTTGATACTTGATATAGGTTGTCGAGAATTCACCCTAGAAATATGTCACCAAAACCAAGGGCCAATTTTATGGTGTTCGTACAAGGCTTAGTTATCAAAGTGTTGTCTATAATCCTTTGTTCGAAATTGATTAGTTAGTGCATGAAGCGAAAGCACGCATCCTTTGGCATTTGGCGAAAGCTCGATTATAACTATATTAGTAGAGGAGATGGTACATCATAACAGAAGGAATTCATGAATGCATCATCATTTAGGTGTTAGTATGCATGATCATCTAGATGAAGCTACCTAAACAATAATTTCTCATATATGATTTCATTAATATTGGTATTTATTATGTAAATATGATTTTGATCAAAAGGCAATTACCATCCCAAAAGAAGGAAACCAGATTGGCATACTGTATAATTTCACCCACAAAATCAATCCCCAGCCGTTGAACAACAAAAGAGGAAAACAGAGGAGTTATATAGGGGGGATAGTAAGAGGCGAGAGAGATGAGAGTGGTAGATACTTGAACTTCAAACTCAAATCCATGCCACCCGTGATTGCAAGACACATAAATTAAAATCAAGATTCGACAATCGGACAAGAGCCTGGGAGGCAGTCAAAACCCAGAAATCAATCAAAACTCACCTCTATTGGATAAATGAATCGAGAATGAAAAAAAAAAAAATATATGATAGGGATATCGGAGGAGGTTACTCGCCACAAATCTAAACAAATCTACAAAACTTTATTTTTGGTGCTTCGTCTGCCGTCACATATTAAAAAATCCTCTGTCGCTGTATGTAAATCCAACCTTCGTTATCTTCCTGAATTGCTATTTGTAGCCCTACTTTTTCCTTATTTGTAGACCTAGACTAATTCAATTACTATTTTACCCTTCTTTTTATTTTTTTTTAAATTCAAATTTTGTATAAGAATCCAACCGAACATCCCCTTCCCTCCCAACATCTAACAGTCACCGGTTTTCTCCCAAATAATGTCGTCGACGACGTCATCTCGCCGAAGGCGACGACAACTCGCCGGAGAGGACGACTTTCACAGGGAGACGATGGAGAGCAGTGTCGCCGGAGACGACGACATCTCACCTGAGAAGATATAAGAGCGCCTCGCCGGAGAAGAAGACTCGTCGCTGAAGGTATATATGATTTTTGTACAAAGGAACGCGGTGACGTCTAGGACGTTTGTCCATTGTCGGCGACGCCTGGGCAGGACGTTGCCGGTAGTTTTTTTTAATTTAATTTAAATTATTATTATTATTAAATTATTTTTATTTTTACTAATATTATTAGCAAAATTTACTCAAGGATAGAAATTTGGTTATTGATTAGTTTTATATCGGAGTTAATTGTGGGTATGATTTATAAAAAAATTTCACTTTGGATTTAGATGATGAATATTAGGTTGTATTGATTAATAAATATAAGAAAATTTAATAATTTAAATATAAAAATTTATTTCATGAAAAGTATTAATTGTAGTACGAACCTTAAATTGTAATTGAAAATTTTACTTAGCAAGAAAATTAAGTTATAATTTATTGTGAAATTCATTATAATCCAAACATTATATTGTGATGGGAAATTAATTATAATTGAAATTATATACGAATATTATTATAATAAGAGAATATATGAACATTGAAAATTTGAATATAAAAATTTATTCTGTGAGAACTAGTAAGGGTTAATACTTTAGTTTGGCCTGAACTATACACAAACTTTCTACTTTGGCCCGTGGTTTCCGAAATTGCTATCCTAGCCTGAACTGTGTACCATACTTCCTAATTCAGCCCGGAGCCGGGTTTGACCGTCAAATTAGACGGTCAACGGAGTTGATCGTTAGTCAATTGCCAGCTCACTTGCCACGTCAGCGAGCGTAGAATAATTTTTTTTAATTTATCTATTCATTTTCTTTTCTAATAATAATAATAATAATAAATGAAAAAAAAATAAAAAACCCCACATCAGCGAGCATGGAATAATTTTTATTATTATTATTATTAGAAAAGAAAATGAATACATAAATTAAAAAACTAATATTTTTTATTTTGTGCTCGATAACGTGGCAAGTGAGCTTTCTATTTGGCTAACTGGCAACGGAGTTGACCGTCTAATTTTACGATCAAACCTGGCTCCGGAACAAGTTAGAAAGTACGTTACGGAGTTTAGACCAGTATAGCAATTGCGGAAATCACGGGCCAAAGTAGAAAGTTTGTGTATATTTCGAGCCAAACTAAGGTATTAACCCAACTAGTAATTATCATATGAATCTTGCTAATAATTATTACATGATGATAATAAATTGACAATAATTTTAATTCAAATTTTAATAGGTAGAAAATGGTGGATACAAGAGGAAAGAAGAAGATGAAGGAGGTAGTGCCATCGAGGGTGGCCAACCGTATAGTATTGAGGTCGCGTTTTGAGGAAGTAGAGAATGAGCATCAACGTGCTAGGCTTGTGGAGAATCCTTCTTCCCCGGATCCCGTGCCTTTTGACTTAGATACTGCTTTTGAGGGAGTGGTTGAGTATGATGGTAGTGATGACAATTATGATGACTTCCCGGATGTGAATGAGGATTTTTTTCGAGGGCAACCATTCGAATGCAGATGGTTCTAGTGGACCTAGATTAGAGCCTGAGGCTCCTTTTGTGTCTTTTTCGTCCTCTCAGTTTGTTCATGTTAGACGTGGACCTCGTGGTCGTTTTGAGTCATCACGACCTGATTCGGAGGAGGGCAACACTAGTAAGAGGAAGAATGCGAGAGAAGCTGATTCGTGGATTCTTGAGAGGAGTGGGCCAGGGGGGCTATCGATCCTAGCCTGATTCCTAGTTTTGGAGGTCATGTGGCTTATCGATTATGGGATGAGGGTTTAGGGGCTCGCCGAATGGATTCATTCAAGTTGTCAACTAGAGCATTGGCAGTCAATTATTTGAAAGATTACAATTTTCAGAGTTAGGGTGATGCATCGTTGGTTGAGAGGGCAGGGTTGCGCAAGTTGTTGGACTGCTCGATCAAGCACTTGGACGGACCTTTACTTATGGCATTTGTGGAGAGGTGGCGGCCACACACCAACACTTTTCACATGCCTTTTGGAGAGATGACCATCATGCTCTACGACATTGCAGTGCTGCTCGGGATTCAAGTCGATGTACATATGGTTGTAGGGAATGAGAGTGTGAAAGCACAGTTGTGTGAGATGCTGAGGGTCGCACAATTGAGTTAACGATCGAAGCCTTCGCTTAAGAGTGAGGGTTTGGTGTGTGTTGAAGCTATGCAGCAGGTTGGGAGGTTTCAGGAAAGAGATTATGATGTACGGATGTTCTTGACCTGTTTGTTGGGGACCACCTTGCTTGTGAACAGGAGTGGGGATCGGGCGCAGATTTGACCACTCCTGTTCTTGGGGGACCTTAGACTAATGAGGAAATATTCTTGGGGGTCTGCTACACTCACCTGTTTGTATAGGCAACTCGGCATGGCGTCTCGAGCGGACTGCAAAGGCATGGGTGGGTGTTTGCCCTCCTTCAGAGCTGGATCTATGAGTACTTCCGCATTTACGAGATCAGAAGTTGGGGACACGTGGATTGGTGTGGTGGGATCTTTTTGCTAAGAAGTGGGAGGGGGTGAGATTTGGAGGTGGGGCACAATTGATGAATAAGAGGTTGGATCACTATCATCGAGTACTGGATAATATGACAGATGAGTTCATTTTTCGGTGCCCATTCACCCTCAGACCTGGTGAGATGATCTCACATTCTTTGTACTCTGGTGTCATTCGGTGCATGAGTGTTGAGGATATGTACAATCCCTCGCGTTGCATGCGTCAGTTTGGGTACGTACAGACCATCCCCTCAGATCCGCTTCATCTAGTTGATGTTTGTCAAGCTGCGAATGTCGAGTTGTACTCCTTGTCCTACGGTCACGCCTTGAGTGAGATTTAGAAGGCCCCTCACTGCCACTCAGTGCAGTTAGATTCGATATCGAGACTTGCCCAGAAATTGAAAGCTACCGACGATGAGTATCTACAGTGGTATGTGGGACGTACCCACTCGAGGATCGTCTGGCCCAGTGCTGCTGACCAGGAGATACACCACCATCTTAGTCATGATCAGGTAAGTTTTATTATGTTATTGATGTTACTATTCTGTACAAACTTAAATATTGCATTAGTTATAGAATAACACACTAACATTTACATTTTTTATATAGTTAGTTGAAGCTCGTCCAAGAGTTACAAAATACTTCTTATTTACAACTATTGTCATTATATACCAATACTACTACAAATATCTCCTACTAGTCATGGTGACCCCTAAGTGCGAAGTAAAGAGCTCGCTCGTCCTCGAACAACTGCTCCCGCCCTTGAGTACTCATTTTGTCTCGGAAATGGGTCCACAATAAGGTGAATGGAGGAATTGGTATTGAATCCTCCTCAAAGTCAAGGCGCACCCAATGGTTGCAGGTGTTACACAACACCAACACGTTGCTAGGGCGAGCTACCCCTGACTTGGCTATCATAGGTAAAACTCGTTTGTCCAAATGGAACACGTCTCGTCACCCCATCCTTGGTATCGTCGGTTTGACTGTAGAGGATTATGACCCAGTTAAATAATGTTGCAGCTATGGCAAGATCCGACTCATTCATCCAATGATCCATTGTAGTACCCTCTGGCTTGTTCCATTGTAATCGTGTAAGAGCAAGATCCACATCTTCATATGCGTCCTTACATTGTTGGATCGACATGACTTCATCTATAATAGCAATTCTCACCCACAAGTGGTGGTCCTAATCTCCATGAAGTGCATGCGAAAGAGCCCGAAATTCGCAATGGCCATCCATAACAGGGTCCCACCAACCAAGACATCGATCTCTAACACTTTTTGGGATGAAGCGAAAGTAAGAAAAAACATTCACTCCATCAATCTTGTGCATGAGATCCCTTTTCGGGCCACTTGTGGATGTAGTTTTTTTAGTTACCTTATTGGCATATTAAACATATTTATTGAATATAAATGGATTTAACAAAACAACTCAAATTATTCAATACAAACCTGTATCATCTCAGGTTGTTGCTTTTCTCTTTTTGTGGATGGGAGCATCCTTCGGGCACCTGTTGGTGAAAATTTTGTTGTAATTAGCTTATTGGCATATTAAACATACTTATTGAATATCAAGGGATTTAACAAAACAACTCACATTATTCAATACAAACCTATATCATCTGAGGTTGTTGCTTTTCTCTTTCTGTGGATGGGTGCATCCTTCGGGGCACCTGTTGGTGAAAATTTTGTTGTAATTATCTTATTGGCATATTAAACATACTTATTGAATATCAAGGGATTTAACAAAACAACTCAAATTATTCAATACAAACATGTATCATCTGAGGTTGTTGCTTTTCTCTTTGTGTGGATGGGAGCACCCTTCGGGGCACCTGTTGGTAAATTTTTTGTTATAATTAGCTTATTAGCCTATTAAACATACTTATTGAATATCAATAGAACAAAGTCATTCAAATTATTTAATAATAACCTATATCATCTGAGGTTGTTGCCTTCCTTCTTGTGCTCCTTCTAACCTGGCGTGCGGCGGCGTGCTCATGCCAAAAAGGATCACGAGCATTTTCCCTTCTAGGTGGCCGACCTTTTGCCTTTGTAGACACTCGTGGCTCCCTAAGGCCTTCCTCTTCTGGGTAAAGCTGACTCATTAATGCGACCTTGGCTACTCGAACTGCAGACGGGCCACGCCTATACACCTCAGCCACTAGATCATGAAAAAATCTGAAGATCATTGGCGTCATTGTCTTTGAACCATCTTGCATCGTGAGGGTTATCATAGTCCAAAGTAGACCAGAATGGTGCCAAGGCTACTATTAAATGGTCTCCCACTCCTTTAAAGGAGTTGATTCGACAACTGCATGGGAGCCCATGTGTCCTCCCAATCACACAATCACATTTCGAAGGAGTCTTCTTTCCCTCTACAAACATCAACTCAATCTCATATAGGCTTACACTTCCCTTTATAACGTTGTAGGGTGGTCCAGGCTCCTTTTAATGTCTTTGTTCGACACGTCGCTAGCTCTTTCCTAATTTCGATCGCTTGCCCCCCAATGCTAGCATGCCATGATAAAAATAGTGTATCTACCCCCTCAGTCGAAGTGTTTAGCCAAGCTTTGAGAGTAAAGTGAGCCGATTCAACCCTGTTTGTACTTGTGTTACCAATATGAAAAATATTGTTAGTGTAAGCACAAGCCCACTTCTCTCTATGCTGTAAACACTCACGATCCAAGTATTCTATCAACCTACTATTCCTCCCCCAAAATCCGGGGAAACCACAGATTCTTATGTTTGGCTTTTGAGAGAGCTAGAAAACATGCTTGGAGATTGCATACCGAATGCAATTCTTACCGACAAGGAGGGAGGATTGGTTGCCGCTATCCATCAGGTCTTCAAGAAATCAGCTCACTTGTTGTGTACATGGCACATAAAGCGGAACATTGAAGCTAAGATGATCAATTTGGGGATACCACAAGAAATTGCTCGAGGAGTGGTAAATGGTTCTTGGAAGAAGGTGACGGAAGCCACCACGTGATAGAAACACGATTCTTGTGGGTTTCTATAATTACTTATGGTAGGATAATTATTGTTAGGGTTAGTAGTACTCGAGTCCTATTAGGTTATTTATCAGGTTTATTCCAGCATTTAGCTATATATGTGTACTTTGGGTTTACATCATAATCAGCCAAGAAGAATATTAAGAAAATCCTTCCAAACCCTAATCTCCCTATCCTCTCAACTCTCGTTCTCAATCCTTCTAAAGGCCTAGGCCGATTATGTTCTTCTTCTTTTTCCCCAAATCCCAATCTCAATCCATAATTCTATTCGTATAAACCCTAGTCCCCAAGTATTAGATCCGATAGGAACTTTGATTATATCACCATGCCACATGATACGATTGAGTTTCTCTTGACGGCGGTAACCACCAATAAGCTCAACCATGGGCCTCTTATATTTGTTTGTCTTGTATGGGGAATCAATCAAGATTACACGGTACCAAGCACTCAACATCCGAACATACTCAGGGTGAGCAAGAAAAAGGCGAGTAAGGTGGCGATCATCATCACTCTTTTAGCCAATGTAGTACCCCATCTCTCTTGCTTGATGTAACGTCCAATCCGCAGGGGTCATGCCACCAAATCTCTCAATCCTTATATTTGTTGTCGTGTTGTAAAATTGTCATTTGTTATGGTGAGTACCATACTTTTGGTTGATAGTTTGCATCATTTTTCGAGGAGGAACACAAGCCCATTCCATCTCCTTCATATCCTTTAGCTCTTCATCAGTAAAAGCATTCCTCTGAGTGTGGCCTTCGGGATAAAGCTCTAATGCATGGCTGTGAAACCCACAAAATTGTCCTGAATTGTGATTGTCCTTCACACCATTAATCATCCAAGTCTTATCCTCAGGGAGTCCCACCAGCCTCACTAAAAAACGACAACCAACTTTAAGTGTCTTTGTGTTGGATCGTCCTTTCTTATCCGGATCTGGGACATATGCATTATTCTTATATCCATGATGGCAGTGAAGATATATTCAGGGTACTTCTCGCCATCATTTGATTTGGTTGATGAATGTGTCAAAAAGAACCCAAGATCTTTTGCAATCACTTTCGCGGCTTCCATAGCTTCATTCTATGACTTATATATCGTATTTGTTATGAAAACTGAGTATAATCAACTTTGTCTCCCTTATCTTTCGGATGTCCCTAAAATAAAAACATTCATCTTATTAGTGATACTAACTTTGAAATGTTTGTTGTGGATTGAATTCTTCCAATTTGAATAGATTGAGTCTTACGTAAATTTCAACACTTTTGATGACTTGTAATGTTTGTTGTAAATTGAATTCTTACAATTTGATATGGATTGAGTCTTATGTAAGTTTTAGAAAATTTGATGACTTGTTTGCAACCTTAGTTTTATATTTATCTTCTTATTAAAAAACTATTGAACACGTTATTAACAATTATTCAATATTCGAACATAAAGTTATAATTCAATAGCTTTTCAACAACAAATTAGCACATTAAGCATGATTAGCTACCAAATCCTAATATTTCAACATGCAATAACAAATTTTTTAACAAGTAGATACGTACTAATTAAATTATCAACTACTCAACAAAATCAATAATTCAACATTTTTCAAACAGTAAGTATCATTGTAAAGAAACATTTAAGCATAATATCAATTACTAGGCTGCATCAGAAAATTAACTAATTCAACATAATTCTATAATTAAAAAGTTTAGCTCACTAACCGTGTTACTCATTGTCTGATATAGTCATATTCAGAAGTCCGAACTTGACCAACTTCAAGAAATACCTATAAGAAAAATATTTTCAGTAACATTAACTTAGTTTCAAAATATCAAAAAATGAAATTAAAGAACTTCATTCTAAAAATAATATTATAAAAAATCTATCCTAAAGAATATGATAATTACAATATTCATAAAATAATAAAATTACAATAAAATCTCTAAAAATTCTTAAAAATTTTAAATTATTGTCAGTAAAATTAAATTAGTTTCAAAATTGAAAATTAAAAACTTTATTCTAAAAATAATATTATAATAAATATATCCTAAAAAATATGTTAATTACAATATTCATAAAATAATAAATTAAAATAAAATCGCTGAATATTCTGAAAAATCTAAATTATTCATAAATCTGTCATAAAAAAATCTAAAATTATAACCAAATTATCTAATATCTATTTGAAATTTTTAATATTCTTCACATATCTACATTAACTGCAAATAAAAAAAACCCAGCGATGACCTACATAGCTGTCTGTCCACGGAGGTCGACGTCCAGGCAAGACGTCTGGCGATCGCAAAGAGAAAATCATTATTAACACTAAACGCACCTGCTATATCATGAAGTCTGCAAAGAGAAAATCATCATTAATATGGTTCAAAACATCTTATCCTAAAACATCCATTAATCCATAAGATAGAGTACAATGTATTCCAAATCATTATTCACTAATTCTCATACATCTACTAAGTAATAACTAACCAACATAATCTTGTTAACACGAGGGAAAAAGTGAAAGAGTGAAGGGAGAGTTGACGAAAAGGAATTAGGTTTTGATTTGGGTGGCTACTCAATTACCTTTCTACTATTTGTTTTCTTGAGTTACCCTCACTATCATTCATGTGAAGAAATGCTTTTGAGGGGAGGTATGCATATGAGGCGGGGGAGTCTAAAACCATAGCTGCCCCATACTCATCAAAAGTTTCGCGAGTTTTACACATACCCATTCAATGCGGGGATTCCCCGCGTTAACTGGGTCGTGGCGGTCGGGTACCTGCGGTTATGAGTTTGACTGCCATCCCTACTAATCATCCATTTTTCTCTCCTCCCCTTCTTTCTCCCTAATTGAAAGAAAGGAAGGCAAATTCTGATCTATTCTTCCCACTTCTCTTCAATCGCCTCTCTTTCCTAGAAACAAAAACTCTCCTTCAATCCGATCTACTTCCTTCTCGTTTCTCCCTCTCATTTTCTACTGCTTACCCATCTCTCGTGTTCTTTCTGAAAACCTAGCAAAGATCCCAAAAAAGAGACGTTGATGCTATAGACAGTCCTCCAGCTGATTGTAAGTCAAGATTTGAGGCTTGCATGTTCGATTTTTCTTCGGATTTGCTGGGTTGAAAGTGGGATCTTGATCTTTTTCTTTCTAGGTTTTGATTTTTGGATAAAGCAGAAGGAATAAAAATGGAGGGAAAAAGTGAACCATACCAGTTTCCGATGAAGGTATCCTCCCTGGCGGTGATGAATGTCCCAAGTTTACTTCCATTGAAGATTAAAGAAGGATGTACAATGTGGGGGCAAGAAGGGTAGAAAATGGCTAAGTATGGGAACAGGTTTGTGAGACCTACTTTGGGAGCTTATATCTTCATTATGGAAGACATACGAGTAAAGCTAAGCATGGGTCATCACAGTACAAGTCTTGGTAAATATATAGAAGGGATTGAATGAGAAAAATGGAGCTTGAGGGACATCAAATGAGGAGTCTGAAGTTGGTATGAAGGCTGTTTGTTTCACTTGCACATGAAAGTACTTACTTAGGTCACAAGCTACCGAGTTTGAGAAGGATTATTAAGTTGGTTTCATGTTCCTTTTTCCTTATTAGTGTTGTAATTGTTTTCCTTTCCTAGGTAGCGTAGAATTACAGTTCCTTTTGCCTATATTAGGCCACACTGTAGCTTGTAAAGTAGAACATTATTCATCAAGTTTTAAATATAGAATTCTTCAACCAAAAGCTTGCGAGGTTATGTTGATGTTTAGTGGACTCCAAACACTACAGGAAAAATCACCTTCGATTACGAGATTTCCCGTGACTGAACAACTAATTCCAGTGACCAATACATTTGTCACGGGCAATTACCCGTGACAAGCGTTCCCATGATTGAATGTCAATGGACACGGGAAATCCCGTGACCGTAAAGATACAATAATAGGAAAGAAACCATGATAAATGTTATCTTTTGTCACGATAATCCCATGATTAAGTATTAAACACAAGAATAATCCCGTACAAATAGAAATATTAGTCACAGGAAATTCCTGTGATGTTTACTTGTTACTAGTCACGGGAAAACCCTGTGATTATTATTAAACCAAGGGGTGGGCAATGGGCGGGTTGGGCGAGTTTCGGTCTCAAATTGACGCATCCGATTACAAGCGGATTGATATAATTGTGACCCGCTATCCACCCATATTCTTCTGCGGGTCGGGTTGGGTGGGTGGCGGTTGGGTCGTGGGTT